CACGCAGGCTCTTTGCCCCAAGTTGGATGGAAAAGCATCCCACAGATCTCTGTTTTTCAAAAAAAAAAAATATGCTCACGGAAATTTTTTTCTTGCTAGCAGTGCCCATGAGGGCCTTGCAGCTTGTCCCACCTCAGGCACTCCTCGGCCTTGCCACCTCCTCAGATGGGGGTCACTCCAAGTCTGGGTGAATGTTTTGGTTTCCAGGCAGGGAAGTTAAAGATAATTTAGCCACTCTTTTTCATGAATCTTAAAAGTGCTCTGTAACTTTGGGTAAGCTTTAGCAATGTGAATGAAAATATATATATGTGGAGGATAGAAATTCTGACCTCATTTGCACCCATGTAGTCTGCTGTGCTGTATTTCATCTGAGGGGAGGTGCCCAGCAGGTGCCCAGTATCTCATCCTAATACTGGAAACCTCTTGGACAGCAAAGGTCAAGGATGAACAACTTATTTTCTCCTTCTTGCTTCCAGGACTTGAAATAAATCAAAATGGGCAGCAACCTACAATCAGAGATTTTGATTGTATCCAAACCAGGACAGGGTAAAAGAAGGTAAGATCTAACTAGGATTTGAAGACACTAAAATTGAAATATGTTAACTGGTAACCTCTATCAAATCTACTAAAACTCTCAGGTTTCTCATCTCTAGCCTATCTCCACTTAGAATATCAATGCTAAGAGTTAAAAAGCAGTGAATGTTCTGATGTTCAATGCAAAGGTGATGGTTTTGAAGGCAGTACTGTCTCAGAATTTCAAAGTCGCTGGTGTTCATGTTACATAGAGTACCACTTGGTGGTCATTTGGAAGGCGCTTCTACTTCTATGTAACTTTCTTCTCGGTTGGGTATAAATATTCCTGGGACGCTAAACAGAAATGCATTTCGTTTAGATACAAGTCTTAGGCACGAGTTTGAAAACTGCTGACTGTAATGAAAATATATCAGCACTTAGTAGTATCCAATAATATAAAAAATGCAATTCAGAACATCTTCAACTACATATATATATATGTGTGTGCTTCTATATATAAGTATAAAGCTACGATACCTACATGTATATAAACACAGACACATATACAGAAATATTCACAACTTGAACTGTATCTGTAGCTAACCTGAAATACTGCAGCAAAAGTTCCTTCTGATGAACCACTAATATAGTATTTTCCAACATGTCAGAACCAAGAGCTCCTACGTGGGGACTCTAAGAGTACCTTGCCTACTGTAAAGCTATGCAACTATGGCGCATGCTTGCAGCCATGGACCCTGGGCGCCCGTTGATGGTAGTACTTCCTTGGAAGGTAACATTTAGCAGAGTGGAAACGCATAAAAGGCAGAGGACCTGCAGTGTGCAGGTGCCGAGTCATCGCCTCAAGGTTCTGACTTTTGCTGGAGAGGCGTCCCCTGATGAGCAGCGATAAAAAGAAGTGGTTGATGCAGGTGGGAGTTTCACGGGGCTCACAGCATCTCCCTCCTGCAGCTTCCAAAGGAGCTCTTCGTTAGTCCTGCTCAGCTTCTTCTTCTCCTCCACTTCTTTCTCGACATATTCTTGAAGATTAGCGTTCTCCTCTGACAATTGCCTTGAGAGGGAAACAGGACAGCATGTAAGGTGCACCAGTGCGAAGACAGTGGTATTAACACAGCCAGTGCTGCACAAGAGGCAGGGCCAGACAGAACTCCAAGCACTTCCCTCCGTCCATCCCATCCCACCCCATCCCGTCCAGTCCCATCCCATTCACCTGCCCATAGGGCAGCAACTGAGCTGCCCAAGCTGGGGCACAGCTGTGCCCAGGTCTCTTGACTGCTGGGCAAGAAAGGCATCTCCACAAGTGGCAGCTGCTCCACAAATGTCCGACTCTGCCTCTGGATATGCCTGTGTCTTTGCTCTACACCTCTCTGAAGCAGCTCAGCTGCCAAACCTTAGATGGGATGAGCCTGTGGCCTCGTGCAACTGTCGGCATCATGCACGGCATACAAAGGTGCCAAGAGCTTTGTGTATCAACCACGTACTACAGACCCTTTAGAAATGGCCATTTTCCCATACAGACAACAGAATAAAAACTGGAAATTCCTAAAAGAAAAATTTAGCATATTTGTTTCTTTATTTGTATATTTGAAAGTAGCAAAAATGCAGGACTGCAGTGCTCTGCCAAGTGCAGGATTCTTCACTCATGGACAGAGAAGATGGAGAGGGTCACTATAAGGGATGGAGAGAGTAACTAGAAATTCAGGCTGACATAGAGCTCAGATGCATGCAGCTGATCATGAGGCTGTGGGTCCTTCTCCAGGTCCTTCCTCCTTGGTCCTAACGAACCCTCTATTCCTGACTGGAACACCAGGGAAACTTCACCAGCAAGGATCAGGGAGATGTTTTCCCCAGAATGCACTATAACCTGATGTTTTTTTGGGAGGTGGGGCATGAAAATCTCCTATGGGCACCACAACCTCAGTGAGTCTGCTCTCATCTAACCAGGTGACTGGTTTCAAAAGAAATAGGGCAGGGCAGACCAACTGTGGGATCTGATCAAGATGCGTTTTGGGCATGTGCTGGCAACACCACTGTCCTGGAGAATGCATGCAGGAACACCTGGCTTCTGCAGCCCTGTTACACTTGGCCAGGAGCCAGGTCCTGATGTGATCAGTCTGGGGCAGCTCTGGGCATGTACCTAACCTGATTTACAAGCAACTTGCAATTTTACAGAAATAAACAGAGAGGAACCTAACCTTCCCCCTAGGTATTTCCAGGGTTCAACAGCAGCTGGGTGTGGATTTTGGATGCACACACGAAATTCTGCACAACTCCTTTTTTGTGGGGTATAGCCTGAAGCCCATAGCAGATGTCATGGACTGCTAGTCCACTCTCTTTGTGTCATTGAAGACTCTGAGAGGGTGGGGTTGGCATTTACAATTTTGTTTAGAAAATATTTTTAAAGAATCTCATTTTTAGCCTTGGTTCCTACAGAAATGGAGCTCAAGTGATCAAGAATATGTCTGTTCCTCTCCCACTGCCCGAAAGTTTCGAACCATGAAGCAGTGGCTAGCAGAGTCGAAGGATTAAAAGACACAAGTTGTTAGAAGTTTTCAGAAAGCTGTTTGCCTGGTAGAGGAGGAAAATCCTATTCACAGTTCCATTGGGGAACCCAGCTGTGGCATGAGCTCACAGTCTAACAGGCATGAGAAAGTCTGCATGGGAGCTCACCCTGAAGAAATAACTCTGTAGGAAACCTCTTGCTACACATGGAATTACTTTTTGTTTTGCAGTGTCTAAGCAGACAGGCCATAAAAGTTATACACAAAGCCCCACTACATCCTTTTCCAGCCAGCATTTGCTAAGAGGAAAAAAAACAAGCACATGCCTTCCCTCCCTTTGTGCAGCTCTTGGTGTGGGACTGTCTGGTAAAGCTCATCTGGGTATTGGGAATAGGCTAGTCACACCAGCACAGACCTCAGAGCACGCTGGAGGGCTCAGCTCCCTCCTCTGCTAAAGACACTGCTTGGACAGGAGGCAAGGGCAGCCCACAGCCCACCAGCACATATCGTAGAATCATAGAACGGTTTTGGTTGGAAGGGTCCTCAAAGATCATCTAGTTCCAACCCCCCTGCCATGGGCAGGGACACCTTCCACTAGATCAGGTTGCTTAAATATCAGCCTCCTTTACATTGAAGTCTTAATGCTGCTTGCTAGAGGTATGGTAGGATGAAGGTAGCAGCGTCCTCTGGAGTCTCTCACACCATAGACTTTGTGGCACTAACACTCCAATTTGCTGGCAGAAGTAAGCTGTGAGTTATATGCATGACCTGCAGGTAAGTAGGGAGACGCTGGAACAGAAAATAGCCTCACAGCCAAGTGCCTGTGCACACAGCATGCAGCATGTGGACATGTCTCTCTCCAGAGAGACCTGCTTTGGCATGCAGATGGAGAAAGGAGCTGCTGCTTGTCGTGCTGCTTATTTTAGCCTCGCGCTCATTGTGCTGGGAATTTACACTGTGTCACCCAATGTGATACGACTGGACACAGACAGAGCCAGCTTTGTGTCACTCGGTGACAGAGGTAGCTTGCAGAGCCAGCAGTGCTGGCATCCTTCAGCTAAGCCTCTGCCTTCAGCTCAGCCAACCTGTATCTGCCTCTGCTGCGCCATGGGGAAGGAGGTGGAGAGATGCAGCATTGCTGCTTATAAAAGATACAGATGCCCATTCAGCCCCTCTTTGTCATTCAGGCAGAAGAAGGAAGAGAGGCAATGCAAAATCAAATGTGTTCTCACTATGTAAGTTTGTATCTTGAGATATATGTTCCAATTTTAGACCTAACCCATCTAGGGAAACCTTTATCCCTAGCACTGCAAGCTTATGATCAGACATGTTCCTCTACTAGCCTCCTGACAAATTAAGCAGCTATAACAAATCACAGCCATAAAACCACAGAGGTCTGCAGGGGCACATCGATATGATAGGGATGCAGGGGAAGGTGCTTGAATCGTGCCCTTGACTCAGGTTAAGGCCTTTCCCAAAAGGCCCAGAGGTCAGTAGGTGCCTGGGCTATGCCAACAGAGACCAGACACTGTCCTGGTCATCTTGATTTCTAGGGTGCTGGAAACTACCATTCCTCAAACATCCCTGATCCAAAGGATAAAAAAAATGCTGGTTGATTTGGAGGGAGAATCCCAGATGCTGGGAAATCAGATGATTTATTCAAGTGTTGGGGAAGTCACAGCAGAGGCTCTGTGGAACTCCTATGTCCAAAGCTGGTACCTGATCTACCTGCAAGGCTCTTCTCCCTTCCTTTATACCTGTCCTTGGCTATGATTGGAAATATCTCTGTGGTGCACCCCTCAGCTCCCCAGTACCTCCAGGACCGCCCTCCTGGCCGTGCTGCAAAGGCTGGCTTTGTTCTGGCTCCTATCCCTCCTGCTCCCCTCCCTCCTCTTGCTGCTGCTGGGCTGCCACAGACACGCAGGCACCCAAAGTGCAAATCAGCAGAAAGAGCTTTAATCCACGCTGTTCCCCAGCAAGGGCAGCTCCCTGAGCTTGTTCACGCTGCGCTTCCCAGGCAGTGCCAGTACAAGAGAAATGAGCTGTCTGGGTGGCTACTGCTGCCAGGAAAGCACGTATTTTAACAACTCTGACTTTAAAGCCCTGGCTGACACTGTCCCTATTGCTGTCCCCAAACTGTTGCTGTTGAAAAAAACTATACGTTGACTTTCCAGGCTGACCTCAAATTCAGAATTTCTTCCAAAAGATGTTTTTCCAAACCAGTACCTATGCAGTTACAGGCAAGAAGCAAAGCGCTGCAGTCAGCCGCTGGCAGGGAGTGGAGGGGGCTATTTGCCCAGCCAGAGACAGGGAGCTGCAATGCAGAGATGCCACGCACTGAATCAGGGACCCTGGCTGCTATCACAGGCATAGAGAAAGACTGCCACTTCCAGACCATAATTCATCCAGCCCAAAAGCAGCTGTCTCAAACTGATCTAGTGAACCAGACCTTAAAAATTCCTGATGGTCCTCCCCAAGCACAGAAAGGCTGTAGACACCCACCTCAGACAGTGACATGTGTGTACAGGTATTTACAACCAGGTGAGAGGAAACATAATCTTCACCCCATCTGAATTTAGTACAAGCAATGCTGCCTTTTAAAAATATCTACATGCAGGAAACAATTTTCAAGGGCTGAATCATTAATAAACCAAAACCTAAAATTAAAGACATGAGATGCTGAAACTTTAAAAAGTCAGCTAAAAATTAAATTGCGTTTTAGGCCAATGGCATCATTTCTGGCAACAATGACAACTGGGCAGATGGTGTGTGGGGACAAGTTCAACTCTAGCATCTTTCCCTGGTACCCCTTCTGCCTGACTCCAGCTGCAGTCTCCTGCCTTACAGCAAACTATACACTCTCTGGGACAGGGACTGTCCTACCCTTCTCTATTTCTATACCACCTAACACAAGGAGCCTTGTCACCTTTGTCAAGTTGTGACAAGGGTGCAAACAGACAGTGCAGATGAAAAAAAGCTCACCAAAGGATAACCCCGCCTAGGTGACAGGGGCATCGTTAGGATGTCTCTCCAGAAACTGCCTCATTTCCCACCTCGTTACATACTGACCAGCAAGTCTCAGGGCACTGACACTGAGATCAGAAGCCACTGTCAACTTTGCTCTCAGCAGCATGTCAAAATCATGGAATACACAGACAGATATGTGGCCTTCCTTATGTTAAAGTAAGCAAATCCCGACATAAAAATGATTTTTTAATAAAGCAAGCAGATCAGGACACCAATAGAGTTTCCAGAAGAAATAAGTTTTTCCCCTTCTGAAATAAGTGTCAACCTTGGGCAGTTAAAATTCTGCAGTCTCCTTCCAAGTTCAGACATTGCAAATATCAGCACAAACCTTGTTATGACAGTGTTTTGCTCAATCCTGGCTCGGAGTTCTTCGTTCTGCTGTTGCAGCACAGTGATTTTTTCTTCCAGTATTAAATTTTTTTCAGCCTGCAACAAAAGAAGGTTTGTTAAGTCTGAAGAAAGCCCAACACCTCATCCAAGAGGATTTGTTCTTTATCTTTATTTGTCCCTAGAGCAACTTCTAAAATTTGAGGATAGATGGAGGTGGTCACTGGTGGCACTGGGGATCGTGGCGATGCCCAGCATGGAAAGGGCACTGTGGTGTGAGTGGTCAGCCCAGTGATGAAGGAGGGGTGTGAGGCAGTATGATGTGCATCATCCAGCTCAACTAACCTTATTGGACATAAATGTCTGGTGTCCAACCTCTAGGCTTATAATTCCTTGGTTATGAGGAGGAAAGAGTTACCCACCAGGGCCGATTACGCCCAGCAGAAGCCTTAGAGTGCTGCTGTGTTCACATGAGGTGGGCTGCCCTTTGGAGACACTTCTCTCCACTGTTGGCAGTGTCAACTTAAATGACAGGCTTAAACTAGACATCTAACTTTAAGCTACAATTAAGTGAAATGAATCCTATCCCAAGCGTAGGTAGCTTTTACTCAGGACAGTTCAAGGACAGAGTTTGAGGATGTCAGTAGCAGTGTATTAAAACATCAATAAGATGTTTATAGGCATGTACCACAGCCTCAGATGCCCTGTTTTTTTCCCAAGTTTTGAATTTGACTAAGGTGAATTTATCACCTTAGTTTTTGGTTTTCCAGCAGTTTGAATTTTACTGAATCAACACTTCCAGAAGAAAATAAGATATCATAGGGTAACCTTATCTCTGTGTGAGCTCAGTTATTGAATTTCCCAACCTTTTATAAAGAATCAAAATATTGTGCACTGGAGTTAGCAATAACTCATACTTTACAGCAGAGGCAGCAGTTTTATGTAGTGGTTTCTAGACTATGCAGGAAATACTCCTGATTCTGAGATATTCTGGCCTATCCCAGTATATTTTGTTAGAGCAGAACAAGGATTCTGGCCCTCTTGTGAAATGCTCTGAGATAGGAATCACCATTACAGGCACCCTCTCTGCTTCCTCAATAGTTTTAATAAGTAGTAGTTATGTCAGCATGAAGCATGGGAGACGACCTGTGCATCTCCTCCTCTCTCCACTGCAACCCTCACCCTCTACCACTCCACTCCTGCCACCTTCATTTCCAGCCTCCCTTTCAGCAGACAAGGAGCCAAGCCTGACCCTGTATTTGAAATGACCTCCTGCTCCCTTAGAAGGCACCTCATTTTTCAGAGCATTTGGAAATGCCCTGTAGATGTTCTGGCACTTATAAAGGTAGATCTTTAAACATAAAGCAGTTGTGCTTTTGGACTACTGCTTAGACCCAGTGTTTTACTGTGATAAAGGGCAGGAGCAGGACTGTGTGCTCATATGTGGTTCATTAGCAAAAGTAGCTAAATGACCAGGAACTATGTAGGCTGTTGTTTGGGATTTTTTTTCAGTGTGACACTACAGTGCATGTTTTCAGATGCTGGCTTAGCTCCAGGAGCAGTGTGTTGGAAGGAGCACAGTTAACACGCCTCAGTTGTAAAGAGGCACTTTTCTCTACATCCACTTACTCAAGCATCTGTTCAGCAAAATAACCATCAGAGTTCTCAAATTTCCCTGTAAATGGAAACAAATCTTGCTGAATGCTGTGCTGAACCAGCTGTCCCAGCTCCCCAGCTGAGGTAATGCCTCATCTTGTCACTACACTACAGCTTACTGTCACTGTAGGTTATGCCTTACAAAATGAATCCTCTTTCCAATAAAAAGATGTAATTGATGGTGAACTGAGGAGTTCTTCATCAGGGACTCCCACAAGCAAAGGATGAGAAAACAGCATAGGCTGCAGAAAAGCATTACTTTAGGGTTGGAGAGACCTTTCTTAGTGTAAGCGTTGCTAGGAACTGCTTGCTGAATATTGATAATTCATATGCGTGACTGAGAGCTCCCTAAATGCCTGCACGAGCAGCAGCAAGACACACACTGCTCAATCTTCCTTCACTTGCCTCTCCAGCCCTAAATGGTTACCTGACTCTTGTAGGGACATATGGTGCAGGCTGGTGTACAACATGAAGCCCTAGACTACCACAAAGCTCCCCTTCCTCCATTCTTCTTACACAACTCGCTTCGCTGTCTGACATAACAGGCTGAGCAGGTATTGTATGAAAAAGCAATACAGATCAACGGATGTGTGGGAGAAAATAAGGGCATCACGGGTGAGCAAAAGGATGGGAAAAGATCCCAATTTCTGAGTGACAGCCTGAGAGACTTCTACATAGTAGAAGCAGATATGTAGGTTGACAGTGGCACAACACAATATATAGCCATTCATGAACCTCTTTGACTGTGTCTTGCCTCAACTTCATGTGTTTTCTCACCCCTTTTAAGTTCATCTGCTGTAACCAAACTTACTTTATTACCTCTGTGATGTCTCTTCTGGAGGAAAACCAACTCACCTGTCTTTCTAGCTCCATAATCATCTTCTCCTGTTGGTGAATCTGATGGTTCTTCATTTCCAGAACATGTTTTAAGCTCCTCAGATCTTCTTCTAAGTGCAGATATGGAGCTTGTACAATCTAGGAGATATACCAGTGATTTGGATTATCTGTCAGCCATACATGTACCTTTGGCCATAAGATAAAAGTTTTCTCAAGGCACCCAGTGGTTTAGGAGTCTCAGTAATGTGAAAAACATCTGGACATGGGCCTCTCCAGCCCATCTGAACCCTAACATTCTTTCCTAGACCATCCCTCTGGCTCGATAGCTAAGGGTACCTTTCTCTTGACCAGCCTCATGGCTAGAAGGATGGGATGCCAGGTTGTTCAGCAACCTCATTCCTACTCATAGCTTGGGAACTGCATGAGGTGGTTTATGATCATGCAGGGATTTTGGCTTGGGAAAAGTACAAACATGAAACTGGGCAAACTGGACAAGGGGACTGAAGGTGAAAACTACAGTGTTCTGTCTTGCCTGCACCACAGCATCACAGTGCCTGTTAACAAAGATCAGATCTAGTGGGAAAAAGTTCCTCCTCTGCTCGAGAACTTCAGATGTATGGTTCAACTCACGAGCAAAAGATGTGCTCTGAAGTACACTGATGAAATACTGTCACCGACTTGAGCTGTTCTGGATTTTTCCCAATGAAACTCACTCCAGTGAACTGCCTGGTGGTACTCGGCATTAACATCACTGTGACACAGCAGAATTTGTCCTTTCATGTAAATTAAATACTGCAGTGGACGTGGAAAGGGGCTGATGCTACCTGTTTCCTATAGTCAAGCCTGTTTCAGACATTTGCGCTCCTTTCCTAAGGAGTTCTCTCAACTGAAAACTCAATGAGCCCCTTGCTCACCCCACTATTTTCTTTCTATTCCCTCTGTCATGTTGATACAGCTGCCCATGGGGTTGTGCTGTGAACCCACTAAAATGCCTCAACTTAAAAGAAAACTCTTTTTGCAGAGTTATTTAATTTCAGATAAATAATTGCAGTTTGTGTTTACTTACACACTGTAAATAAACAGCATGGCCCCAATAGACAGCAGTTGAATGACAGGGCTGTTCCCTGCAAGTCCAGAAAAATAAGAGGGAACACAAAGGATATGAAAGAAGTTGGTTCAGAAGGCACAAAAAAAAAAAAAAAAAAAGAAGCCTAAACATGAAAAGACAAAAAGTAAAGAGAAATAGAGGAAGAAGGGAAAGAAGAATAGACAGCAGTAAGGACATACTTCATAACATAGTTATGAAATGTCTTGGAAACAATGCTACAAATGCTGGGTGAAAGAATAAAGAAAAAGAAGTAAAATCAGAAAATGATGGAGCTAGGCTAAGATTTCTGACTCCTCCTCAGAGCTCAAGATCTGGGGTTTTGGTTGAGACCTGTCCCCAGTCCCTGGGTTAAGGATCCCATTGCTATCCACTGAATCGTGTGAAGTGAGTCATACTCAGAAACACCTATCTTGATGAATGTGTAGTTACAGTTTCCATCTACCTTCAGTTGTTCCTCAGTGGTTTTCTTCAGAGCTTCTTCAAATCGGTCTGCTTTGGCCTTAAGAGATTGGTTCTGGAAGATGAGGGTGTCTATCTGGTCCTGGAGGGGAGACACACCGATGAACACACCAACCATGTTATCACCCCTTTTACATTTGTACAAGTCAACCTGCACTGTGAAACCACCACGGGAGCTGAACAAGGCTTAGCAACCCCTGCAAGGTGGTATTTTTTACATATGGCCACTTGAACATAGCGAGGTTTTTCATAACTCAGTGCCTCAGAGAATCCTGAAATCCCTGCAATGCCTGTGGCTGGCTGACACTGGCTGGCACTAGGTCATGAAATGTCTTTGATGCTAAATCACCCCATCACCTTGGGCTGGATGAGAATGAGCATGTCCTTCCTTAAGAGAGCTGACATTTATATCAATCACGGGCATGAAAGAGGTAATTTTTGCGGTCCCTAGAGTCTGAGTGAGGTGGTAGATACCCCATCCCTGTTTCCTCCACTTTTCTAGGCTTCTAACATGGTAATGAGCAATGATGAGTTAGTGGTGTGGACTTTAAATGATCGTTGTTTCATCTCAGAGCTATACACAGGAAGATGTCATTTTAAGCAATCATACTTCTGCTACTATCGAAAAAAATCTCTCTATATAAAAGATTTGTAAAAGCCACAGTTGCTGTGAAACTGGTACTCTTATGGTTCATGTATGTGATTTCTTGGCTATAACATCACATCAGTGCTTATTGCAAAACTGCTGACATGCCTCGAACTGTCACAGCCATATGAGGAAGGCAGTGACAGTTGCTGCGTGCAACAGTTATGTGCTGGCCAGGGGTTTTCAAAATTTTAATTCATCTCTGCCTACAAAATCAAACACAGCATGCATATTCACTGTGGCATCTCTACTTGCTCACACAGGATTTCCAAACTTAGTGTGAATCCCAACACAAGAAGGACATTGAGCTGCTGGAGCGAGTCCAGAGGAGGGCCACAAAGATGATCCGAGGGCTGGAGCACCTCTGCTATGAAGACAGGCTGAGAGAGTTGGGGCTGTTCAGCCTGGAGAAGAGAAGGCTCCGGGGTGATCTTATCACAGCCTTCCAGTACCTAAAGGGGGCCTACAGGAAAGCTGGAGAGAGACTTTTTACAAGGGTGTGTAGTGATAGGACAAGGGGCAATGGCTTTAAATTGAAAGAGGGCAGATTTAGATTAGATATAAGGAAGAAATTGTTCACTCTGAGGGTGGTGAAGCACTGGAACAGGTTGCCCAGAGAAATTGTGGATGCCCCATCCCTGGAAATGTTCAAGGCCAGGTTGGATGAGGCTTTGGGCAACCTGGTGTAGTGGAGAGTGTATCTGGCCAAGGCAGGGGGATTGGAACTAGATGATCTTTGAGGTCCCTTCCAACCCAAACCATTCTATGACTCTATGAATCACAGGGGCACACTTCTGCCCTCCCCTCATTGGGAGTTCTTCATCTAGAGAGTGAGAACAGCATGGAGCTATTAGAAGGACTGAGAAGCCAAGGTGGTCTTCAGCTTGGTGTTGAACAGTGGAATGTGGGAGATGGGATTCACAGGGCTGACCTTGGCCGGCCATGGCCTGAGAGCACAGCAGGGCCAGCCCTGGGGCATCCCTCATTAGGGACCGCATTGCCCTCCAGTGGGAATGGAGATATGTCTACACCGTGGGACCCGCGCCTCCACATTCAGGCAGCAGAGAAGAGTTTAAAGCACAGGCATAGGGCCAGGCAGGAACAGGTCAGCGTTTCTGAGCCCTGAGGGTGCCTGCCAGAGGGTGCCATGTAGACAAGGTGACGCTCACAGCCACCGCAGGTGCAGGAGCTCTCCCCACCACACAGGGAAGATTTCAATTTTGCTCCTTGTGCTGGGCCAGCAGCCAGTAGGGTCAAAAAGACGTTTCTTTGCTTTATTCAGCTACCTCTTCCTCCCTTTAGGTTTGCCCTCTCTTCTCTTTCAGACAGTATTTTGCTGAATCAGCCAAGTGGGAGGAAAAACCTGAGGGGGCACCTTTGCTGCTAGGTCCCTGTTTGAACAGGCAGAGGACAAAAGGTACTATAGCTGGTAAGCAGCAACAGCCTGGTGTGCTGGCAGCTGGCAGCGGCGCTGAAGTTGCCCCATGAGCTGCTCCGCAACATCGTTACAGGGGTGGGAAGTAATGAAACTGCTAACCTGGAGTGACAGCCGCAGTTTTTCAAAATCCTCTTCTAATTGTGCCTTTTCCAGTTGGTGAGTGCTATTCAGTTCTGGGGAAGATAACACAGAGATGACATTGCTAAGTGAAGTCCACCAAACCAGCATCTGAGAGTACACACATTGTGAGCCAAACGCAATTTGAGATGTACTTTTAGGGAACAGAGGTTGAGTAGGAAAGTGGTAGTTATATACTCTGCGACCTTAGGTGAATTGTTTTGAGGATCAGGATTTCCTGATCTTTCACTGGTTGCGGGTACCTCTACTTCTGCATGACCAGCTTCTGATTTTTCAGAACTGCTCAGAATTCCCAGCTTCTGGGGCCTCTGATCTGTAAAGGCTCACTCTGACAATGGGTCATTTACCAGTTCAGAGTGAGTATCCGCAAACTCAGATGCAAAAAATCATAGGACAGTGCTTCTCCAGCAGCTGTGGCAGATGACCTGTGAGGTTTACTCCACTAGTGAGACTGACAGAGCCTGAAGACAGAAAAGTCCTCTATTTATTTACACAATTAAAGGTTTCACTACTAGAACAACTCACCTTGGACTTAGCAATATCCACAAGTTAGATAACCAAAGCAGAATAAAGTTTAATTTCTAAACCAATGACATCGAACTGTTGTTCAGTACAGTATTAGTAACTAATTTTTAGGATATGGCCACTCTTTTTTTGGTGTCTTTACCTTCAACTCCGTGGAGCTCTGCCCTCTAACCATTGCTCACTAGCCACAACAACAGCAGTTATAATACTAATGATCTAGTACCCTGTACAGAGCACTAGACTGCAGCTGCTGCAATGCGTTTTCCAAGCACAGGAGGGCATTCCACACCCACACGAGGAGCAGGGAGCACAAACTTCGGCCACCAGAGCCTTGATAAACCACAGCCAAGTTTTATCATCAGAAAATACTAACAAAAATGGACAGATAAGAATATCCTCAAGCAAGGAACAGCTTTTTTAAAAATTATTTTCAAAATCGTTTATGTTAATTTAAAAATGATTATGCTAGATACCATCTCAGCCTAAAGGAAAAGGGAACAGACTGTTCTCAGCTCATGTTATGCTCTGGACAGCATCTCTAATTGACATAGTGCAGAGCTAAGCAATATGGCTCAGTTTGGGGAAAGTTGGGGGAAAAACTACTAGAGCTATTTAAAAACTAGACCCTCATGCTTCCGTGTAAAAAAGAGATGGAGATTATAAAGATTAACTGTTAAATGTCAACTAGAGCATGTACAAAGACATGTATTTAGATATAGAACTGGTAGGGAGGAAACAGCTCCGTCTGCAGCATCAAATCCAGTGGAAAAACTGCAACACAAAATAAAGATAACAGTATTGAGGTGCAGATTTGCACCAGTGTGTAGCTCTGGTCTGCTCAGCATGGCCAGACTTTTGCTACTGAAGATGATGAGTCCTGTTTTTAGAAGCAGTGTAGGCATTTAAGTACCTAAATTCAGAGGTGTTCAATGAGCTTGAGCCTCCTGAGCACCTGCGCATTAGGCTCTTGAGAAAAGTCTGTGTGTGAAGTGAGGTGGAATTTGGATTCTATGGTCAGTGACCCATGGAGAAAGCCTTGTCTTTGGCCCAAAGACCTCTCAGATAGTCTCAGGTCCAAGTTAGATGCTGTAGACACTGCACACAGCTCTCCTTCACCCCTAGCATGAACCTGATTGTCCATCCCACGTGAAAGCACTAGATCAACACAAATTTTCTGTATCATCTGCTCTGGAGGAAGAAAAGTGGGGCTTACACAATCTCACTACAGTGCTAATCCCTGCTCTGGAACAGTGCTGTAGCCATTGGGTTGTCTTGGGCTTACCTTGAATCTTGCAGTCATTCTCATCCTGCAGTACTGTAATGGTGACTATGTGGTTATTTTCCAACTGTAATATTGCAGCTTCGTGTGCAGCTGTGATATCTTCCACCTGTTCCAACAACAACGAATGGAGATGTGGACACATGATTAGACATGCTGCAGCATGCTGACAAGCCACTTCTAGAGAGCTCCAGTGAGCTGAAAACAGTAAAGGGATCTACTGAGTGTGACACTTTCAGCACTTGAGCCAGTTTTATTCATTACAAAACAGGCATATTGACAGCTTGAGTGGTAGTGTGTGGTCACTACTGCTAGTATTTTTGTTCTTTTAACTTAATGATGATAAAAAAGGTACACAGAAAAGCAAAAGGCTAAAAATCCCTTAAGCAAAGAAGTCATTTGTGAAATGTTCAGAAATCTCAACATTCCAATAATCTAAATTATATTAATGACCTGACTCCCTCTGATGGTCAGATAAACATGCACAGTTCTCTGCCATCCTGGCTTTTGTCTTAAAAGCACTTTGCTGCAACGTTTTTTATTATAAAGTCTTGAATTAACTTCTATGGAAAGTGCCTATGAATTATTCAAAGTTGTGAAATATTTATTTCTAGAGAAACATTGAAATTATTATCAGTGGGTATGTAAAATGAATTGCAATCTATCACACTTTTACTTGAAAAAGAGTATCCTACAAAGTCATAAATACCTGAATTCCTACGTCCTCTTGAATCATCTATTTTGAGCCCACATCCAGTAAACCAATGAAAGATACGACAGGACATTTTTCAGTGCAGACATAAGAGTTTTCAGGCTGGTGTGGAAGTAACCAGGATGACAGTGAAGCCACAAAACTTTTCCTGCTCTCATACTGAGGCCAGAAAGCAGTCCTGCTGCTGCAGACTGCCCAGCAAACTGCATCACACACCACGCTGCAAATAGCCATCACAGGAGCACGGGATGCAGTCGGAAAAGGGATGTGGGCAGCCTGTGTTCCTGTGCGCCTGATGGGTTTGGGACTCCTTAGTACATTGTTTGTTACTAGACTTTAGTAAAGGCAAAGCGAGATCCCCAATGATGGCGTTTTGATATGCATCATTAAACAAAACACAGTGAGAAGTGGTGTTCAAGGTTAAGTCAGTGGTCCAGAGCACTTTCCAAATGCAATGCATCCATTTGCTTTTCTGTGTTTTATCATCACAGTGATCTTATTCCCTAACCCTATTATATGTGATATCTTTCAATGCAGAGGATCAAACTATTTTACTTTTGCAATGAAACAGCTGTTCATGGCAAAGCGACTTGACTTCAAACAGCTTTTTTGCTCACTGTTATGTTAAATGATCGTAGAAAGATACTGCAGCTGAGCACGTCTTGGCTGAAATAAATGTTACTTCACTGCATTTAACTGTCAAACATATGTGTTATATTACCCAACAGAAGCAAAATTTCCAACCACATTGGAGAAGGCATGCTCTTAGGTTGAAAGATGGGCAGTTAACATGGAATTTAAAATTATCCAAACTCGTTTTTGTAATAATGTGGGAGATAACTCAGTGGTGAAGAACTGTTTGCAAAACAGTGGGGATTCAGCTTGCTGACATATTTCGTAAAAGAGCAGGGAAAGGGGAGTTGGATGACTCAATGGGCTACTAATGGGATAGGGACTATCACTTGACTTTTCCCAGAGCACAAGGTTCTTGTACATGATGTCTGCTTGTTGAAACCTCATGAGCATTATCATGTTCTTTACCTCACCCTTGCTTAAGTCTTTATTCTTCCTCTAATTATTCCTCAGCTGAGCAGCACTCCATAGGAATGATTATGCTCATCTCCAATGCCTTCAGAAAGTGGAGGGGTTTCCTTTTGATGCCACAATCCTTAGCAGGTTATTTATCTATAAAGCCAATTAAATATGTTCCAAATAGTTTCCAGGGATTTTTCTATCTTCTTTATGTTTCAATCCACATCCCAAATGACTCCTTTTAATCTTCCAGTGTGACCTTCTGTATGCAATTTTTCACAGCAGATGATAGTGTACTTGGCACTGGGAATCAGACTCGTGGATACTAATTCCAGCTTCACCACTAACTTACTCTATAGGCTTGATCTACTCACTTAACTCATGTCATCGTTATTTCTGGCTACAAAAAGCAGTTCAGGTGGGATTTTTAAGGCTGAATAAAGTAAAATCAAGAGGAGGCTCTAGTGGGAGAAGTTAAGTAAATTATTGGACAAAACAGACTTAGCTGAGCAGCTCAAGTGAGAAAGTGGCAAGCCAGGATCGCAGCCTTCACTTTGCAATTTCGCCCTTAGCTGCAAGGAGAAATGAGAAATATTGGGATGCACTGGCACACATAACCGGTTTGTGAGGAGTCAGGCTCTCATGTTCTACTATGCCGAAGGAGCTGCCTCACCTCCTCAGAGACAGCTGAGCCTCCAAAGACTTGACAACTGTGTATCCAAAGAAACAATAGCTGTTTGATACTAAACTGAATGGTGACTACACCAACACAGTCTACAGATAGGAGTCATCTCACATTCATGAGCACTAGTCCTCATAGAGGACTTCAACCACCCCAATATCTCTTGGAGGGACAACACAGCAGGGCAGAAGCAATCCAGGAGGTTCCTGGAACACATTGATGATAACTCCCTTCTCCAAGTGACAGAGGAACCAATGAGGAGAGGTGCTTTGCTGGACCTTGTTCTCACCAACAAGGAGGGCCTGATGGGGAAAATGAAACTCAAGGGCAGCCTTGACTGTAGCGACCATGAAATGATGGAGTTCAAGATCCTTAGGGCAGCAAGGAGAGTACTCAGCAAGCTCACTACCCTGGATTTCAGGAGAGCAGACTTCGGCCTCTTCAGGGATCTGCTTGGTAGAGTACCATGGGAGAAAGCCTGCGCGGGAAGAGGGGCCCAAGAAAGCTGGTTAGTATTCAAAGATCACCTAGGTCAGCAGCTGCTAGGGATCCTTATTCCTCATGCACCTTGATTCCTAGACCAACAAAGTTCTGTTTTTCCTTGGCCAAGAAACATTGTAAGTGAGCATTGTTCTGACCTGGCCTGTTAGCCTCCTCTGATCCAAGAGTGCTCAACACAGGATGGGTGTATGGCACAGTAAGGAATTCAAAGGGAAAACCTGCTAAAACTCATCACAAGATGCTAATAGAACCGTGGGTTGAAAAGATGGGCTTAAACTCTGAGATACCAGTATCAGAACAGAACTTTCAAAGCCATGGAGAGAAATGTTTATGTTATCTTCAGTAATTCAGGGAACAAAGAGCTCTGGAGCAAACCAAAGGGCTGGAGGAGAAAGAACTATTTGCCCCATAGAAGGAAAGATGTGTTTCCATTGCTTCCCTGTGGTGATGAATAGAATCACAACAGATGAAAACATGAGAAAAGTAAGTACACTTCTAGTCAAATCCTGTGGTGACCTATGTCACCCTTTCTTGCACTGATCAACTTGGGGAAAAAAACACCACCTATTCTTGTCCCGGGAGCTTGCAGAAACACCTCAAAGAGTAGCAGAGATAAGCCATAAACTATCTCAGCACAAAATTAACTCGCGGAACAAACTCCTTCAAAAATGCTAATGCCTGGTGATCTAGGAGAGGCAAGGCTTGCACTTAGAGGCAATGTCTTCTACTAGGCAAACTGACATACTGACACAGTGAAAGGAAAAAAAGCCAAGGCTGTTGGGAACACAACTCCTCCTTCATATCAAAAAGCAAAGCTGAAAATTTGAGAGGCATTACAAGAAAATCATCTTGTATCATTAAAGAGTTATAGAATGGTTTGGATTGGAAGGGACCTTAATCCAAATAATAACTGCAATAATAATATTCTGAAATAAGAATAACAACAACAACAGCACCACCACCACCTATTGAAATGAGAATCAAAGACATGGCTCAGCACAGCGTCTAAGCATTTACAGAGAAAGATTTTGAAGAATCTGTTTTGAACATAAAGATGCATTTGACAGTACCTTCTAATGCATCTTTGAAAATCAATGCACTAACAGGAAAAAGAAGTGTGGCCAGCAGGTTGAGGGAGGCGATTCTGCCCCTCTACTCTGCTCTCTTGAGACCCCACCTGCAGTACTGCCTTCAGCTCTGGGGTCCCCAACACAAGAAGGACATGGAGCTGCTGGAGTGAGTCCAGAGGAGGGCCACAAAGATGATCCGAGGGCTGGAGCACCTCTGCTATGAAGACAGGCTGAGAGAGTTGGGGCTGTTCAGCCTGGAGAAGAGAAGGCTCCAGGGTGATCTTCTAGCAGCCTTCTGGTACCTAAAGGGGACCTACAGGAAAGCTGGAGAGGGACTTTATACAAGGGTGTATAGTGATAGGACAAGGGGCAATGGATTTAAAGTGAAAGAGGATAGATTTAGATTAGATTAAATATAAGGAAGAAATTTTTTACATTGAGAGTGGTGAGGCAGTGGAACAGGTTGCCCAGAGAAGTTGTGGATGCCCCATCCCTGGAAATGTTCAAGGCCAGGTTGGATGAGGCTTTGAGCAACCTGGTGTAGTGGAGGGGGTCCTTGGCCATGGCAGGGGGATTGGAACTAGATGATCTTTGAGGTCCCTTCCAACCCTAACCATTCTATGATTCTATGCGGCTACAGCTGAAGCACCTCCAGGAGCCAGGGAAAGGGGTTAACCTGCACTGAGCTCACAGGAGAGGAGAGCGCCAACACAGCACAGCCATCCATCCATTTCACAGACCACATCTGCACTGCACTGTTGCTGCCAATTTACATTGCCTCAGAGACGGAAAAATTCACCCTCTACCACTTTCAGTTGCCCTGGGCATTGGCAAAATCCCCAGGTTGGAGAGAACGATGCTGGCAAACAGGGGATCTGTTGTCTGGGTTCACGTTTTGCAGATGACTGGCCCTTTCACAGCATCACATGCCTGGGTGGCATATCCATGGCAGCGGGGGCTGCGGCATGTCAAAGCCTGATGGCACCTGAGTGCATCAGGTACTCACATGAGAAAAGTCCTCACGAACTGTAGTGCTGGGCAATGGGTGAGAGCTGCAGCTGGAAAAAACAGAACTGTATCATCTGCTGCTCTCTGAATGCAAAATGAGGAAAGACCAGGTAAAGGCATTATTGCCATAATTCAGAGCAGGATGTTCTCACACCATGTGAAAGGTGCACATGAGGGAGTTACAGTGTTTGTTCACTCCAGCTGTTAAAAATAAGACTAAAGTAGCTGCATGTGAAAGTATTCCTGCCTACAAACAGAAAGTGAAGTAAGGAGAAACACTTGGAGACGTACAATCTCAGAGATTAGATTGAACAGTGGAGCAGAGATCAGGGAACCTGGTGTGTATCACCTGCTTGATGTTTAGGCTACGTGCTGCATGAGCACTGTTGCTTCACTGTACTGCCCTTTAACTAGCGTCGCAAATAACGATGGGCAGGGCTCTGCTGGCCTTACCTGTGTCGAGCAGATGCTTATTGAACCCTCAGTTTCATATTCATTGACTATAATAGGTGGGCTGGGGAGCAAGTATTATGGAGAGCAGAGCTAATCTTAATATTTGTGTTGTAAAACATCTGGAAGCATGTGAAGACAAGATATGGCAATGTAATGTACTACTATGTATAAATATCAATAGGAATAATAGGGAGGAAAAGCAGTAAGGATAGACAGGAATATATTTTTCCAGTCATCAGTTCATTACCAGTGTCTTCATGTTGGAGTGTTCAACATATTTCATTACCTGAACCCACTCAGTACTGGACTGGTCTACTCTTCAAAAGGAACAGGTGGAGACTGACCTGATCCTGATGCTGCAACTTGACTTGCTCCAGCTGCAGGCTGTGCTGCTCCTGCAGGGTCTCCCTCTCGGCGTTGTACACCTCCTGCAGCTGCTGCTCCAGCGCCTGCAGCTCCTCCTGCTTCTGCCCGCGAAGCTGCTTCACCTCCTCCTCAAAGCGCTTCTCCAGCTCCTCCTTCTCGCTCTCTAGTTTCTTCTGTCTCGCTGTGTTGAGGGCTGTAGAGAAAAGACCATACAGTCAGGCTCTGAACTCGTCAGGAGCAAACAGTGGCATCGGATCTGTCTGTACAGCACTAAGCACAGAGGTTCTCACCAACTCTGCACCTCCCATGAATCTCAGCCATCAACAAGCTCTCGCTGTCGCTTCTCTCTCTGTCCTGCTCTCACACACACACACATACACACATGCATTTGTTGAAATGGAGGCACTGGCACAGTATGCAAAAGTCCATGCAAAACTGTGATCTGATGACATATAATAATAATGATGATAATAATAATAATTTTAAAAAGCATGGAATTCCGTAGACTTGCAGGGTGACTGGATGACTCTTCCTGGCCAGCACAGTCTTGGATCCACAAATCAAAGCTTTAGGGCTTTTACTTTGCCTTAGATATAAGAAACAGCATGTGAGACAATCACTTGACTCAAAGCCTTGCAACTGGGCTACAAGATTTGTCTAACTGCCTTCTCTCAAGCCACAGTCTTGGCTAAGTCCCCACTACCAGTGGCAGGCCAGGAAGGCAGAAGCTGCCTGCGTGCTTGAGGTGCATCCTGTGCACATGCTATGCAGTGGGTGTGATTTACCACTTGACCAAGAGAAGGAGATGCATCTTTTCCAGCTGTTAGAAGCTGCTCACCTCATAAACCTGTCTTTCTCACCAGCTCCATCAAGGACCTCTTACATCCACTAATACCTGCTTGCTTTAAATATTTTTATATTCAAACCACTCTCTTACGTGTTTCATAGAATCAGAGAGTGCAAACGAAAGGCTGATACTGAAGGCAATCAGAAAATGTGAACATTTTACTCTTATGAACTAACCTAGTGACTATATCTTTGAATTCACAAGCATGTCTACAACTAGTGTCAGGAGGTGCAATTCCAACAGTTCCATCAAGTCAAGGATATTCAGTCTATATCCCCATTTACTTCCTCATCTATATTGTTCCCTGGGTCCCAGGACAGCAGTGTCACGGACACTGTATCCTCGGCCTTTTGCTTTGCTAAAGAATGGTTGCAATCAATCCAGATATTGAAGACCTGATGCAAGTTGGACAAGGTCAGCCAGACTACATTTAGAGAACAAGTCTGCTCACTTGCAAAGATCTAACAGGTAAGAAGGTATTAAAATAATCATGACCATAACATTCAGAACAATACAAGGGAAGAGATATGTTTTTAATGGCACTGCTAGACCTTCTTTCTGATTTAGACCCACAGCTGGTTTAGAAAAATGATCACCTTTTGAATATACCATCTGTATTAGCCACCATTCTTCCTTTGCCTTTCAAAACGCACGTGCCATGCACAGACCAGTATGACATTGTAAATTAGTGAACTGGAAGCAGCTGTCTCTCTGGGTAGACAACTTCTGAATGTTTCAAAAACATATTTATCCTATGATTCCAATCTTTTATTTGCTCAATGCCTGTGGCAAAAAAATCTGTGCTTTCCTGTCTTTTTCTACTATGGTATCAGACTGTGCTCCTTTTTCTTCAGGGTAGCAACAATTTGTCAAAGTTACCTACAGCTGTGACCACAGCTCATGTCAGATGCATCCATGCAAGGTAGTTTGTGCACCCCAAACTAGCCATCCCCTTTCCCACATAACTATTTTTCACCCTGTTCAGAGCTCTGCTTTCACGCTTACTGACAACAATATTCAGACTTGCTCAGTATGTTCAGACAGATATCACTACTGGGGTCCTGTTCTGATCCTGATGTTTTCTGGAGCACTAAGAGGGATTCTATGTTCCTTTCAAGCTCTCTGCTCCTTACAGATAGAGAGAAAGTAAGCCTCAACCAGTGAGCTTAGCACCACAGAAGTGGCACATAGAAAGCTTTCCCACCTGCCTTATACCCAAAACGAAACAGTGCAATTTATATGGTCATTAGCTGAAATGCCTTGTCTTCTGGCAGTTTGGATTATAGCTCTAAACTCTCTCTCTTCCTTCTTTATTTTTTATTTTTTATTTGCTTCAGCATGCAAAGCGATTCTAGAGCTGGAGAACAAGGGGTAATGCTTGCAGCTCTACGTTCAGTAGAATTCAAACTTACTCAAGCTTTAAATTGGAGCTGTAATAAACCCCATCTCTCTCCAGCCTCTCTAATGAGATTATCCAGCACACAGGGAGGGCTGGGCAATGAAATTACATGCTCTAGCGAAAAGAAAGTTAATCTGAAACACTTTCTGCAACCTGAAACACAAAATTTTTTGCATCTTGCAAATCAAATCCTGATGTAGGTGCAAAATGGAGGAAAGAGGAAAGCAGGGA